TGAGGTTCATCATTATTTTATCTAATGACTTAGCTCTTACTAAAAACCGCTTTAGAAATGAATTAAAAGACGACAAATAATGAACTGCTTTAGAATTCAATATCATTTTCCTTTCACTCTTAAATACCCAACAAAAACTTACATTGAAAAGGTATTAATTCTCAGCTTTGTGAGAAGGCTATATAAAAGGCTATATAAAAGTAGTAGTAATTCCGTTTTCAATTTCGATAAATAATTTTCCGACCCTATAAAGTATATATAACTATGACAGGGGCTGCTACTATCTAGCGATCGATCGAGCTAGCGAGCGATCGAGCATCGAGCGAGCGAAGCGCGAGCGAGCGAGCGAGAGCGACAGCGAGCGAGCGAGCGAGCGAGCGAGCGAGCGAGCGAGCGAGCGAGCGAGCGAGCGAGAGAGCGAGAGCGCGAGCGAGAGCGAGGAGCGAGCGAGCGAGCGAGCGAGCGAGCGAGCGAGCGAGAGAGCGAGCGAGCGAGCGAGCGAGCGAGCGAGCGAGCGAGCGAGCGAGCGAGCGAGCGAGCGAGGAGCGAGCGCGCGAGCGAGGAGCGAGCGAGCGAGCAGCGAGCGAGCGAGCGAGCGAGCGAGCGAGCGAGCGAGCGAGCGAGCGAGCGAGCGAGCGAGCGAGCGAGAGCGAGCGAGCGAGCGAGCGAGCGAGCGAGCGAGCGAGCGAGCGAGCGAGCGAGAGAGCGAGCGAGCGAGCGAGGAGCGAGCGAGAGAGAGCGAGCGAGCGAGCGAGCGAGCGAGCGAGCGAGCGAGCGAGCTAGCGAGCGAGCGAGCGAGCGAGCGAGCGAGAGCGAGCGAGCGCGCGAGCGAGCGAGCGAGCGAGCGAGCGAGCGAGCGAGCGAGCGAGCGAGCGAGCGAGCGAGCAGCGAGCGAGCGAGCGAGCGAGCGAGCGAGCGAGCGAGCGAGAGAGAGAGCGAGCGAGCGAGCGAGCGAGCGAGCGAGCGAGCAGCGAGAGCGAGCGGCGAGAGAGCGAGCGAGCGAGCGATCTAGCGATCTAGCGAGCGAGCTATCTAGCATCTATCCTATCTATCTATCTATCTATCGATCTATCTAGCTATCTATCGAGCTATCTATCATCTAGCTATCTATCCCTCATCTATCTATCGATCTATCTATCTAGCTATCTATCTATCTATCTATCTATATCTATCTTATCGATCTATCTATAATCTATCTGGCTGTCCGACTGCAGCCTGTTCGATTATTGAAAGAAATTTTTTGAATGCCCCAGATATCCTCGGGACCTAATTCTTCAACAATTCTGCCAAATATGCTTCCAGATGTTTCCTATATAAAATTAGCAAAATCGATCAGTAAATAACGGATAAAATCCGAGACAACGTCTGAGAATTTCCTAGAAAATCCAGCTAAACCCAAATATTTGGGTAACATTATATGACATAACAACGAATATTTTAGGAAACACCATATATATATCCTGATGAATGAAAATCTATTAGAGTGAAATTTTTTGATACTGTTGTTTCTCAATTGGTCCTTTTTTATTATTTTAATATATTGAACCTTTTTTAATCGTATACTGATTGAATTAAATTTATAAAAGGGTAGTTTCTGATACCTTTTGTCATTCAAATGAACCTTGAATCTTACATATAGGATCCTGGTGAAATGAAGAATTATAACTTTTTGGTTAACTTTTTGGTACTCTTTCGATCTTCAATTAGTACTTTTTAAATTTTTTAATATTAAAGCAAGAAACCTACCCAGCAAAAACAGGATAATGACTTATACTTACTCAACAACTTACTTTTCAATGACTACTACATACCGTCTGCAATACTTAGAATGAGTCTAGTAATAACTTACAAATTACGTTAGTACTTACTTTTCAGCCATGACATATTGTTTACGGACTTTGTTTTTAACACAAATGAAAGAAATATAACTTTTTTTGTGAAAACTTATAACAGTGTGCTTACGTAGTAAGTACTTACCTAACTCCCTATTTGTAAGCGAGTGTGGTAAGTACTTGCCTCCAATGTCATCCCCGTGTTAAAATAATGACTTAAAATGCTATTGTGTAAGTAAATTTTAGCATTTTAAACCCTTACTTTTCAATGTAAGTTTTTGCTGGGTATTAATGCTAGTGAAATTTTGAATTCCCCGTAATGTGGCATAATTTATATTGTATTATTTAATACATATTAAACAATATGCAAATGTACTTCTTAATGCCAACATCTTCATAAATTCTTTATCCTATTAAATAATATTAGAATTAAAATTAACATATAGCCTAATGTATGCAGATTAGGGCAATAACTTTTCTACAGTTTTTGAAAATATCAAATCAAAATATCAATCACTATTTGCAGCAAGTTATATTGAAAAAAGGCGAGATATTGGGCAATGACTAGTTCTTACACTTACAAATAACTACTTAAATAAGTCATTATAAATAGGACGTTAAAAGATTGCTTTTCGCACACTAAAAAATATATAAAATAAGATCATACTATTAAAAACTATTTTAAATTGAGACAAATTTGTCACAATAAGTTTCTGTTCCAAAATAAATCATTATTAGAACGCTATTAGCAACCACGTACATATGTATTTCTAATATAATCTAATTTTGGTTATACCCTAATGTACATACATACATTGATATATATTTATGTAAATATATATCTTTCTTAATGTTTATTATTTTATTTAAGACATTACTGATACTATTAACCTACATAAAGGTTTAATTTGAAAGTATTATAATTTATTTAGGTATATAATTAAAATCCTAATACTATTTAACGTTTAATTGCATTTAATAAAGTTAATAATAATAATGAAATATTTATACGAAATTAAAATTTATTAAAAGTGTGTTCACAGTTTGTCATAAAATGTACATAGTTAACTATAAACTGTGTACAAAATATTTTCTATAATTTAAGTATTTTCATTAAATACTTTAATTTTAAAATATATGAAAAATAAACTGTCAAATTTAAAAAGGTTGACATACCATTTATGTATGAAAGAGTCGATTTACTGACTGATTGGTCATCGCGCAATCTAAAGGCTTGAACTTAGATTTATAATATCAAGATCCACTCAGGAGGGAAGTTAGTTTAAAGGATAAAAAGATAAAAAAAATGTTAGACAGGTGTTTAGTACTTTTTCGAAATTCGGTTCTTTTTAGGAGTAAACGGAAAAAAACTTTTTGTTGGTACTTTTTTGGACCTAATATATCGTTTAAAGCTGTCAAAAAAAGTAAAATTTTTGAAAAGTTACAGAAATAAATTTGGTACTTTTGGGAAATTCGAACGTTTAAGGTCTAAAAATCAAAAAAAATACTAAAGAGGCGTAAATTTGGTATTCAAAGTAATTGCGAGTGGCCCCCGGCAGGTTAATGATTAGTGTTAATTCTCACATGAGACACTGGTTAAGGAGCCCACAGCAGGCCGATAGAAACCTAGGTGTATCCTTTGGAGTAACTAACTAACTAAGAACTAACGAACGAACGAACGAACGAACGAACGAACGAACTAACGAACGAACGAACGAACGAACGAACGAACGAACGAACGAACGAACGAACGAACTAACGAACTAACTAACGAACGAACGAACTAACTAACTAACTAACTAACGAACTAACTAACTAACTAACTAACGAACTAACTAACTAACTAACTAACTAACTAACTAACTAACTAACTAACTAACTAACTAACTAACTAACTAACTAACTAACTAACTAACTAACTAACTAACTAACTAACTAACTAACTAACTAACTAACTAACTAACTAACTAACAACCAACTAACTAACTAACTTACTAACAAAAAACGGACCTGAAAAAACAAGAAGCATAGATCGTTTTTATAGTGAGTAAAATGTACTTTATTATAATAAGTTAATGAGAGTATTCACATGCTATCCTTTTATACATTTTTAATACAAACTTCGGTTTAACTTTGATGAGGATAGCGAAGCACCCACGATAAGTTAGTTATTAACATAAACTGTGACATGCCTTCATTGCAATTTCTTTTATGTTATTTACCAAATGTTCTATTGATGTTTACGCTAGATAAACAAGTTCATTGTGGACTAAGAAATAAAATAAAGATTTAAATTTAATTATAATACATATATTCTTATAATGAATTTCTTTTGTTTTTGCATTTCTTTAATAAACAGTTATGAAAGTAATACCAATTGTTTAAAGGTTAAAACAGTTTAAAAAAGAGTTTAGTATTTCAAGTGCAACGAACAGTAGGAGTTCATAAAAATTACTGCAACTGCCACCATTTTATAAATAAGAAAGGACATTAACATAATGAAAAATTCATTAAAAATCTATGCCGTTTTGGCCATAACAACAGTTGTCGTAATACAAACTGCAAGAGCTGCCAAATTTTTGCCCAACAAACGTAAGTATAAAAATAAAAGAAATTTAAATAATAAAAGAAAAATAATTGATTTTTTCCTTTTAGCCGATTTCATAGTACCCTGTTATTTACAGGATCCACAATTTAACAAATGTTATGCCAAAAACTTTGAGGGAATTTATCGCGAATGGAAAGATGGTAGGTTATTAGAAGTTTATTAAGCGATAAATTAATTTCGTATTTTTGAACTTTTAAGGCTTACCTGGTTTAAAGGAAGCTGGCTCCTATGATCCTTTATATGTTAAACGTGTGGTTATTGCTCAAGATGCCAATAATCCAGTGGCCTTAAATGCTGAACTTATTAATCTGGTTATAACAGGAGTCAGTCAAATGCAGGTTCAAGATGCCAGGTTGGTTATTATTTCAATTAAAAAAAATATTTAACACTTTTTTGAAACATTTTCTTTTCCTAGTTTTAATCCCAAATCACTGAAATCAACTCTTAAATTATTTGTGCCAAAGTTACGCTTTGATTCAGACTATAAACTAAAAGGACGCATTTTGAACTTGGCCTTGAATGGCAATGGCAAATCTCTAATTGAAATTGGTAAGTTTGTCTTGAGTTATTTTAATATTTAGTAAATCCTACGTAAAATTCTGAAAAAATATTATGTTTGTAAACCTCCCAGATAATTTCGTTTTAATACTCAACATCCAATTAAAATTGCGTGATGAACATGGTTTAACCTTTACCGATATTGATAAATTGCATTTGGATATTAAAGATGTTGGTGGCTTTCATGTACATTTTGATAATCTTTTTAATGGTCAAAAGGACTTAGAGGACACTACAAATGCTGTATTCAATGATAATTGGCGTGATTTTTATGAAGTTTTACGTCCCGCTATCAGAGAGGCTGTTGAATTTATCATGAAAGATCGTCTATCAAAGGCATACAGTTATGTACCGGGCAATTACTTTATTGCCGATGTACCTAGTGCTGCCCAGCATAGTGGTTAATATAGAGTAATTATTCTCTTAAATTTACAAAATAAAGTTAATTTGTGAAAACTGAATTTGGCGTAAAACAACAAACTATATATATATTCTGGATTCAAGTAAGATTCTAAAGTCTAAATGTATTTGTCCGTCAAAATAAACTACTTACGTGTCTGATTATATGAAAGCCATTATATAAGCACTTAAAAGTAAGTAAATAATAGTCACTGAAAAGCAAGTTATTGCTTAAGTACAAGTCATTACCGAGTTTTTGCTGCGATGTTTTTCATTGTTATAATTCAATGACATATCTTTTTGAAATTATTGATTAAAATTTTTTTTAATTTAATTCTATTTTAATTTCTTATTTGGCAATTAACCTAAATCAAGGTTAATTTAAAAAACATTAATAGAGTTCGTTGAAATATATTGAATTGCATTATATTTCAAATGTACAATTGAAGCAAATTAATAATGCAATTTATTCAAAATTAGAATTTATTAAACTAGAGAGGGTATTCACAATTTGTTGCAAATAAATTTTTTTTTTTCTATAACATTTATTTTTAGAAAATTTTTCAAATTGTAAATCAAATGTCAGTCGAGTGATAAATACTGACTTGAAACTTTTAAGAAATTTTAGTGATTTTTTCATATTAGGTTCTTGTATAGATCGAACTTTACGGAATGCGTAAATTGGATTAGAGTAAATATGGCGTCAACAGGGGTTAACATATTTACCGACTGTCAGAAAGCAATTAGTGTGATGTTAGGAGATATGTTTGGACCTAAGACCGTATTGGATTGTACGAAAACATTAACCGAATACTCACACAGAGGCAAGCTTTGCATTATAAGGAAATCCGGCCACTCGGAAGTCGTCGGCAACGAAAGAGCGAATTTATTTGCTTTAAAGTGATGGATGAGGTAATTAACTTGACGAACGCAAAACTATTCAACGCAAAAAGGTCCAATTTAAAAATATGAACGAGAGAATCCCATAAGGCCTCTTGGAGTAATAAGATGGTGGGTAGAACCACAAAGAAATTATAACGAGACTAGGAAGAGAAGCCATCTCATAATGAGTAAGTCTGAGATCAGTATGATGGTTCGTATTTCGAGTAGATTACACACAAGATTACGGGCAGAACTATTGGACGTTTAGTTTCAGATGAACATAGAGGAAGTGGAAGGAACTGTTAAACTCACTACAACTTTCTTTGCCACTGTCAGGCATTCGTCGAAATTTTTGGGAATGATATTACTGAAGATATAACATCCCTCTCTATAACACTTAGGAATACCACTGAACTTAGGTTCTGAACATCTTACGATAATACCTTCATGGATCACTATATAAGGTCATTGCATTTGTCGATATTAGATGCAAATATTTTGGGAATGATATTACTCAAGATATAATATCCCACTCGAACACTCGAACTTAGGAATTAAGTCCACGAAACTGAGTTTTTGAATATTGGACGATAATACCTTCATTGATCACTATATAAGGTTTTTGTTTCACCAACAAATATTTTCCATGAAAAGGGGTGCACAACAGGTCGCATAATGGACTAGCTGCATTTTTCCTATCAAACTAACCTAACCTAACTATTGGATTGTATCTTACTACCAATATTTTTAATCGACTTTTTCAGAAGAAATCTTCTTTAGAAGGTCTTACTAAGGAGCCTTAGAATTTCATTAGGATAACTATATTTAAGTTTTTTAAGTCAATTGTCAGGGTTGGGCTGGGATTCAAGAGTGATAGTTTGACAGTACTCAGCTAACATGTTGCATCGAACATAATTATAACAATCGGTTTTCTATAATACAGATATCTTAAATAAAATATGTAAGTTAGGTGTAATCAATATTTAACGATAATTATGATGAACGTTCAGAACCCTAAATAATAAATAAAAATTTATATCTTTATCACAAAAGATTCAAAAAAATACTAGAAAAACAAGTTAATTCAGAAGTTCAAATAAAACAATACAACAAATTAATGGAAATTTTAATAAATAAAATTGTTCAAATCAATATTTGTTTATTATTAAAATACCGAATGTAATACATAATATTTAAGCTAAAATCAATTATATAAATTTAGTCTTCCAACAGGAGTAAACAATAAAAGTCATACACAGCGGCCGTCTTTATAGAAAGCTATAAAAAGGAACAACAATAAAATAACCTATTCGATAATGAAGGTTTTATATCAAATTTTTAGCATCCTGGTGATAGCAACAGCTGTTGCCGTTACCAATGCAGCTAAATATTTGGCAAATAAACGTAAGTTGAGGAAAGAAATCTAAAGTAAAAGACAAATACTTAATAATTTCTGTTATTTTTTTCCCCCTAACAGCTGACTATTTGACACCCTGTTATCTACAGGATCCCAACTTTAACACCTGTTTTACCAAAAACTTTCAAGTGCTTTATACCGAGTGGAAGGATGGTAAAGTTTAAAATAAAATATTTTACTTTCAAAACTTAAAGATATAATTCTATTGATTGACAGGTATACCCGGTTTCAAGGCGGCTGGTACATTTGATCCTCTCTATGTAAAACGTATTGTTATTACACAAGATGCCAATAGTCAATTGGCTTTAAATGCTGATCTTTCCAATGTTGTTATAACTGGTACCAGTAAAATGGTCGCTCAAGAAATCAAGTGGGTTATCAAAATACTATTGTTTTTAAGGTTTCAGCAGTTTTATTTAGACATTTTTTTCTTAATTTATTACAGATTCGATATAAAATCATTAAGTTATTATGTTAAATTATTAGCACCAAAATTACGTCTTGATTTCGATTATAAACTTAATGGACGTATTTTAAATTTACCTTTAAAAAGCAGTGGCAAGGCTTTTATGGAAGTTGGTAAGTTTGACGGCTAAAAACAATAGGAATTTATAGTTTATAGATTTTTAAAATCTTATAACCGACATTATTTTTCAATATTCTTAATAAAACTTTTTTAATTTTATCTATTTCCTAGATAATTTTGTAATGATTCTTAAACTACAAGTTAAACTACGTGATGAACATGGTTTCACCTTTACCGATATAGAAAAATTACATCTGGATATTAAAGATGTTGGCGGTTTTCATGTATATTTCGATAATCTTTTTAATGGTCAAAAAGATTTAGAGGACAGTATAAATGGTGTGTTCAATGAGAATTGGCGTGAATTTTATCAAATTGAAAGACCCGCTATAACAAAATCCGTTCAAGAGATTATGAAAGATCGTCTATCAAAGGTATTCAGTTATGTGCCAGGCAATTATTTCATTGCTGATATACCAACTGCTGCTCAATATAATGGTTAACGATAGTTATTGTCGTGAATACATATTTTAAGAATGAAAAATAATATAAAAGTGAAATATTAAAATAATAATTTTCGTAAAGAAATATTAATTACAGGTTATCAACCTAATATTTTATAGACAATTAAGTAAGTCTGATTAATTGCTATTATTTGAAAAATTCTTAAAACAAGTTTTAAGAAGATAATATTAAACAGCTGGTCTTATAGTATCTCACTTTCTTATTAGATTTAGCCCATATTTATAACTATTAACCGCAGTCAAGGTTAATTTTAAAGGTAATAGAGTTCATTTGAGTATCTGAACAATATTTAAAATGTATAATAAAAGTAAATTAATTATTATACATTATATCTAAAATTTGTATTTATTAAGTGAAAGGGTTATAGTCATAAATTAGAAACTCTTCAGATGACAGTTTCGAAACAGTTCAATTTCATACTTTTATCAATTTTGTTACACAAATTTTAAAATTTTAAGAAAGTCTCCACGTGACTTATGGACAGAAAAGAAGGGAATAAAATAGTAAATAAATTAGGTGGATATCTCTTACAGAATAGCGTTACCTGCGATTTGAAGATTGGGAATTTCGGAGAAAAAATTTTTTTGTTAAAATTTTTGAAAAACCAGGCTTTATTCTCTACTGTTATGTATTTCATATAATACCTTCTCGGAATATACAATTCAACATATATCAGAAGTTTTAGCAAAATCGAATAGTGTTTATGGGTTAACATACGAAGGTCAAACTCAAGCTATAAAATATTGCTAAAATGTATTGAAACTTTAGTAAAATATTATTTGGTTTTACACCGATTTAAATGAAACTTAAGAAAAATATACATATAATGAAGACCCGTATTTATCGAAATTAACCCTTAAACGTTAATATATTTTTATTCGAAATATATTTCTTTAGTTTTACAATATTATTACAAATATAACACCGTCCGACAAAAAGAGAAAAAATCGTTAGACATGAACCATGAACGTCTGAAACTCAAAATTTTAATGGAGAAAAACTGCGCTTTTAGTTTTTCATTTCGTGAACCTGTGTCAATTTTAAAGGACTTCAATTATTTAATAAATAAATAATAGTGTTTTTTAGGGTTCTATAGTTGAAACGAAAAGTCGACTTTTCGACTTTTTTCATTTAGTTAAAAGTCGACTTTTCGACTTTTTGCATTTTATGAAAAGTCGATTTTTCGACTTTTCGACTATTTTCATTTAATTAAAAGTCGACTTTTTGACTATAAGTATTTTATAAATAGTCGACTTTTCGACTTTTTCCGACTTTTTGACTATTTTCGACTTCTTTCGACTATTTTTGGACTTTTTTCGAGTTTTTCCAACAATTTCAGAGTTTTTTACTTTTTTTCCACTTTTTTTAAAATTTTCGACTATTTTTGACTTGTTTCTACAATTTTCGTGTTTTCGACTTTTTCCGACTTTTCGACTTTTTTCGACTTTCTTCGACTTTTTTCGACCTATCGACTTTTTTCGACTTTTCGACTTTTATTAACAAAACCGACTTTTTTCACAGACGATAGTCGAGTTATCGACTTTTTTCGACAAAAAGTCGATTGTTCGATTATTCGAAAGTCGATTTTTAGAACCCTAGTGCTTTTCATATCTTTGATATTTATGGATCAATTTTGATTGCTTTAAATAGAAAAAATTGTTGAAAGCATGTCTGATAGAACCGGTAGATTCTAATACTAGTGTTCTAGTCTGTTAGTCGGAAAGTCATATTTTCACTTCCCACCAGAGACTCTCATAAAGGTGCAAGCTCGAACGTACTCTATCGTAATTTCAACAAATGGAACAGAGGTTCTACTACCAACATTTCGATGTATTACAGACGGAATAACAAAATTAATTTTAGATTTTGAGTTCATATACATATGTATGTATGTTCAAGATCTAAAGCTTTAATATTTGCTTTTAATTCTAAAAACACATAATTTTTCTTCACTCTCTAACTAAATAAATACTATCACATAACTAATTAAAATATTAAAAGATTCTAAATTAAAAGATACTAGAAAAACAAGATCGCTAAGAAGCATAATTAAAATCTAACTAAAATTTTAACAAAGAAATGCTCTAATGAATATTTCTTTACTCTGCACCATCCTAGTTGTGAGGCATACTTATATACTCATAGTAAAGTAGAAAATTTTTCTCTCAAAAAATCCAAAAATTTATTGGAAAACCAACCTATTAAGGATATTTATAAGAACTAGCAAGCTATTCCGTTAAAGGTATTTATAAGCGAAATAGTATAATAGGTGTAGGGTAACATAAGAACAGTGTAGACCGTCTAAACTAACTAGTTGTTGTTTTAAATATAGTATATAGAATAATATAGTTATGAATACAAAATATTTAAACATAAAATTAATAAAATGACTGCAGTATTTTGATTGAAGCAAGCATATCAGAAGGTGTATCACTACGTCAACCTCTGATCCACACACATTTTTTCGCCAAAAAAAAAAAGCTATTTCCAGCAGCAACAGCATTTTAAACTATAAAAAAGAGGAAAACAATAAAACAGAAAAATTTACATAATGAATGTGACACTTAAAATCCTTGACATCCTGGTCATAATAACAGCTGTTGCAGTTTCCACAGTTAATGCAGCAAAATTTTTGTCCAACAAACGTAAGCACAAAACAACAATAAAATTATATAAATTATAAAAATACTAAAGATCAAGATACGAACAATAAATACATTTTATAATACCTATTTACAGCCGACTTCTTAATACCCTGTCGTTTGCAGGATCCAGATTTTGGCAAATGTTTTAGCAAAAATTTTCAAGTGATATTTCGCGAGTGGAAGTCTGGTAAAGTTTTTCACAACATATAATTATAAAACAAAAATAAGTAGAAATTCTTTATTGGACTCCAAATTATAGGCATACCTGGTTATAAAGCTGCCGGTTCCTTTGATCCTATATATGTTAAACGTATTTTGTTTTCTCAAGATCCCAAAAATCCTGTGGCATTAAATGTTGATCTTTCTAATGTGGTGGTAACTGGCGCCAGTAATATGATCGTTCAAGAAATCAGGTTTGTTTTTCAGACTTCCACCAAGCATTCAAATATGTATGTGTTAAAATAAATTTTCGTTTTTTTATTACAGTTTCGATGCAAAAACATTAGTTTTACATGCTAAATTATTAGTGCCAAAATTGCAGTTTGCTTTCGATTATAAGATTAATGGACAAATATTAAATTTAGTTTTAAAAAGTCATGGCAAGGGTTTCTTCAAAATTGGTAAGTTTGGTCAAATTTAAATTTGGTGATCATTCTAACAAAAACTTCTGGAATTATTTTAAACAGAGAATTTGGGCATGATCCTTAACGTACAACTTAAGTTGCGCGACGAACATGGTTTCACATTTGGCGATGTCGAAAAATTACATATGGATGTTACAAATATAGGAGGTGTACATACACAATTTGATAATCTTTTCAATGGTCAGAAGGATATAGAGGATAGTACAAATACTCTTATAAATGAGAATTGGCGAGATTTTTATGAAATTTTACGACCCGCTGTAACAGAAGCCGTACAGGAGATAATGAAGGATCGACTAAAAAAGTCACTCGGTTATGTACCTTTAAATTATTTCATAGAAGATATACCAACTGCTGCTGTTCACTATGGTTAAAGTATTAAGTATTTTTGTGTTGTAAAACGGTTTTGCATGGAATGAATAAAAACTGATCTAAGAGATAGTTCATTTCTTTTCATACCCTTCACGTTCGTGAGTTTGTCATTCCGTTTGTAATTTCCTCAATAAAGACCCTATAAAGTAAACATATTCTGGATCCTTTAGCAAAGTCGATTAAGCCATGTCCTGTCTAATCTATAGTCTAGTCTATAGTCTAGTCTATAGTCTAGTCTATAGTCTAGTCTATAGTCTAGTCTATAGTCTAGTCTATAGTCTAGGTCTATAGTCTAGTCTATAGTCTAGTCTATAGTCTAGTTCTATAGTCTAGTCTATAGTCTAGTCTATAGTCTAGTCTATAGTCTAGTCTATAGTCTAGTCTATAGTCTAGTCTATAGTCTAGTCTATAGTCTAGTCTATAGTCTAGTCTATAGTCTAGTCTATAGTCTAGTCTATAGTCTAGTCTATAGTCTAGTCTATAGTCTAGTCTATAGTCTAGTCTATAGTCTAGTCTATAGTCTAGTCTATAGTCTAGTCTATAGTCTAGTCTATAGTCTAGTCTATAGTCTAGTCTATAGTCTAGTCTATAGTCCTAAGTCTATAGTCTAGTCTATAGTCTAGTCTATAGTCTAGTCTATAGTCTAGTCTATAGTCTAGTCTATAGTCTAGTCTATAGTCTAGTCTATAGTCTAGTCTTCTAGCTATCTAGTCTATAGTCTAGTCTATAGTCTAGTCTATAGTCTAGTCTATAGTCTAGTCTATAGTCTAGTCTATAGTCCCTAGTCCTATAGTCTAGTCTATAGTCCTAGTCTTAGTCTAGTCTATATCTGGTCTATAGTCTAGTCCATAGTCTAGTCTATAGTCTAGTCCTATAGTCTAGTCTATAGTCTAGTCTATAGTCTAGTCATATAGTCTAGTCTATAGCTCCTAGTCTATAGTCTAGTCTATAGTCCTAGTCTATAGTCTAGTCTAGAGTCTAGTCTATAGTCTAGGTCGATAGTCCTCAGTCTATAGTCTAGTCTATAGTCTAGTCTATAGTCTAGTCTATGTCCTAGTCTTAGTCTAGCGTAGTCTAGTCTATAGTCTAGTCTATATTCTAGTTAGTCATAGTCTATAGTCTAGTCTATAGTCTAGTCTATAGGTCTAGTCTAGTCTATCTAGTCTAGTCTATAGTCTAGTCTATAGTCTAGTCTATAGTCTAGTCTATAGTCTAGTCTAGTCGTCTTAGTTCTATAGTGTAGTCTATAGTCTAGTCTAGTCTAGTCTATAGACTAGACTATAGTCTAGTCTATAGTCTAGTCTATAGTCTAGTCTATAGTTTAGTCTATAGACTAGACTATAGAATAAAATAAAATTTATTATCTGTGATATGCCTAAATAGAAAACAAAAAAACAATAAATTCTTTACAAAAAAAATCTAAAACAAGAAGACACACTAGAAAACAAGTTTTGTTTGAGAACTTAAACATAAAACAAAATAAACATTTTAATTGAAATTATAATAAACAAATCACATAATTATTTACTTTTTTTTTTTTTTTTTTGTTATTACTTATGAATTTATAAGATGCAGTTATGAAAGTAAGACAAAATAATTTAAGATAAAAACAATGAAATGAGTTCAGTATATCAACTGCAACAAACAATAGAAGGTCGTGTCACTGCCTCAGTCACTAACCCACACAAAAATTCAAAAACAAGGATAATTGTATTTCAATAGCTGCAAAACAATAAAACAAACAAAATAGACAGAATGAAAGTTTTATTTAAATGTTTTGTTATCCTGGTTGTAACAGCAGTGTGCAACGTCAAGGCTGGAAAATATTTAGAAGAGAAACGTTAGTAGTCGAAATATAAAAAAACTAATAGTGAAGAGATAAACTTTATTTCGTCTCTCCTTTCAGCCGATATTTTAATACCCTGTCAGTTGCAGGATACAGCTTTTAGCAAATGTTTTGGTCGAAACTTTCAAGCGATTTTTCATGAGTGGAAAGATGGTAAAGTTTGAATAAAATTTTATTTTCTTGGAATTTAAATACAATTTTGAATTACTGTTAAATGTTTGATTTAAGGTATACCTGGCTTTAAGGAAGGTGGTTCCTTTGATCCTTTATATGTAAAGCGTATTGTTATTGCTCAAAATGACAATAATCCTTTGGCTATAAATGCTGATTTGAAAAATATGGTTATAACAGGAGCCAGTGGCATAGTGGTAAAGGATGCCCAGTATGTTTTTTATATGAAAAAGGAAGATTATTTATCTATAAGTTAACTTTTATTTACAGTTTCAATCCCAATACATTATTTTCAAAAATTAAACTTTTTGTGCCAAAATTACGCTTTGACACGGATTACAAACTTAAAGGACATATTATAAATTTGGCTATAAATGGTAATGGCAAGGCTTTCTTTGAAGTAGGTAAGTTCTAAAGAGTTTAGAAGTTAATGACAACATTAAAGAAAAAAAGTTTCTCAATATTCTCTTATTATTTATTAATCCAAAATCCCCCAATTTTTTTCTCACAGAAAATTTCACCATGTTACTCAACATACAGTTGAAACTACGTGATGAACACGGTTACACATTTACCGATATCGATAAATTAAAACTGGATATTTTAGAAGTTGGTGGCTTTCGTGTACGTTTCGATAATCTTTTCAATGGCCAACAGGTTTTGGAGGAAAGTACAAATGCTGTATTTAATGAAAATTGGCGTGACTTTTTCGAAGTTTTACGACCAGCTATAACAGGTTCGGTTGAGGCTGTCATGAAAGATCGTTTGTCTAAGGCCTACGGTTATATACCGGCTAATTATTTTATTGAAGATATACCCAGAGCTGCCGAACATAGCGGTTAATAATTCGGTAATAGTTTTTAGTAAAATATTAAGTAGTTATTAAATAAGATTTGGAAATAGATAAAATAAATAAATCATATATAAGTGTTATCATATTCAGCTATGCCGAATCTAATCATTAAATCATAAGTCGTAAAGAATAAAAATAATTTCGAATGTGGACCCATATATTGACTGCGATCATTAGAATAATATGAACGCTATTGGCATAAAGCCTTCACTGAGGAATTGCTCCAATTATGGACCAAGTACTTCCGAAATTATTAATTTATAATATTTTAAACTGAATTCTGTAAGAGGGTTTATATGGGTGTAAGTTAAACTATGAACCGATCATCACAAAAGTAGGTATCATGAATGTATTTAGATTCGATTCCTATAGAAAATAGTTTGTGTAGAATTTCATAATTACACCGACAACTTAAAGCCAGTTTAAGTTTTTATGTTAGTTATGAACGTTAGTCATTTTCCAAAGGGGACCCATGCACCGATTACTTATGGACCGATCGTCATAAAATTTTATAGAGAGATTTCATTAAATATAAATTTTGTTTATCTAAAATTTCATTAATATGTTCACATTTTTAAGCCAGCTTTGAGCTTTAAATTTAGGGTCTTATATGGGAGGTAGAGTATGGACCCATCCTCATAAACATTGTAGAGAGATTTCGGTTAATATAAAACTGGTTTATATTGAATTCATTGCTAAAATGATAAGCGTTCTGTCATTTTCTGGGGGGTGGTCTTTTATGGGTGTACACAGAGGGAAAAGAAATATACACGCTTGGTACCAAAATTGGCACCAAAGAGTTTGTAATTTTTCAATAACAACCGTTGTCAAAGTATATACATACGTACGACAACACTATGTCGCAACGTTGTCAACATTGCAACAATTCGTTGTCGAAATCTAAATTTTTACACATACGTTGTCTAAATGTTAACAAACGTGGTAAGCTCCACTATTGGCAACGGATTGTTTGCAATAGTGAACTTACCACGTTTGTTAATATTTAGACAACGTATGTGTAAAAAATTTAGATTTCGACAACGAATTGTTGCAATGTTGACAACGTTGCGACATAGTGTTGTCGTACGTATGTACATACTTTGACAAACGGTTGTTATTGAAAAATTACAAACTCTTTGGTGCCAATTTGGTACCAAGCGTGTATATTTCTTTTTCCCTCTGTGTACAACCCATAAAAGACCACCCCCCAGAAAATGACAGAACGCTTATCATTTTAGCAATGAAATTCAATATAAACCAGTTTTATATTAACCGAAATCTCTCTACAATGTTTTATGAGGATGGGTCCATACTCTACCTCCCATATAAGACCCTAAATTTAAAGCTCAAAGCTGGCTTAAAAATGTGAACATATTAATGAAATTTTAGATAAACAAAATTTATATTTAATGAAATCTCTCTATAAAATTTTATGACGATCGGTCCATAAGTAATCGGTGCATGGGTCCCCTTTGGAAAATGACTAACGTTCATAACTAACATAAAAACCTTAAACTGGCTTTAAGTTGTCGGTGTAATTATGAAATTCTACACAAACTATTTTCTATAGGAATCGAATCTAAATACATTCATGATACCTACTTTTGTGATGATCGGTTCATAGTTTAACTTACACCCATATAAACCCTCTTACAGAATTCAGTTTAAAATATTATAAATTAATAATTTCGGAAGTACTTGGTCCATAATTGGAGCAATTCCTCAGTGAAGGCTTTATGCCAATAGCGTTCATATTATTCTAATGATCGCAGTCAATATATGGGTCCACATTCGAATTATTTTTATTCTTTACGACTTATGATTTAATGATTAGATTCGGCATAGCTGAATATGATAACACTTATATATGATTTATTTATTTTATCTATTTCCAAATCTTATTTAATAACTACTTAATATTTTACTAAAAACTATTACCGAATTATTAACCGCTATGTTCGGCAGCTCTGGGTATATCTTCAATAAAATAATTAGCCGGTATATAACCGTAGGCCTTAGACAAACGATCTTTCATGACAGCCTCAACCGAACCTGTTATAGCTGGTCGTAAAACTTCGAAAAAGTCACGCCAATTTTCATTAAATACAGCATTTGTACTTTCCTCCAAAAACCTGTTGGCCATTGAAAAGATTATCGAAACGTACACGAAAGCCACCAACTTCTAAAATATCCAGTTTTAATTTATCGATATCGGTAAATGTGTAACCGTGTTCATCACGTAGTTTCAACTGTATGTTGAGTAACATGGTGAAATTTCTGTGAGAAAAAAATTGGGGGATTTTGGATTAATAAATAATAAGAGAATATTGAGAAACTTTTTTTCTTTAATGTTGTCATTAACTTCTAAACTCTTTAGAACTTACCTACTTCAAAGAAAGCCTTGCCATTACCATTTATAGCCAAATTTATAATATGTCCTTTAAGTTTGTAATCCGTGTCAAAGCGTTAATTTTGGCACAAAAAGTTTAATTTTTGAAAATAATGTATTGGGATTGAAACTGTAAATAAAGTAACTTATAGATAAAATAATCTTCCTTTTCATATAAAAAACATACTGGGCATCCTTTACCACTATGCCACTGGCTCCTGTTATAACCATATTTTTCAAATCAGCATTTATAGCCAAAGGATTATTGTCATTTTGAGCAATAACAATACGCTTTACATATAAAGGATCAAAGGAACCACCTTCCTTAAAGCCAGGATACCTTAAATCAAACATTTAACAGTAATTCAAAATTGTATTTAAATTCCAAGAAATAAAATTTTATTCAAACTTTACCATCTTTCCACTCATGAAAAATCGCTTGAAAGTTTCGACCAAAACATTTGCTAAAAGCTGTATCCTGCAACTGACAGGGTATTAAATATCGGCTGAAAGGAGAGACGAAATAAAGTTTATCTCTTCACTATTAGTTTTTTTATATTTCGACTACTAACGTTTCTCTTCTAAATATTTTCCAGCCTTGACGTTGCACACTGCTGTTACAACCAGGATAACAAAACATTTAAATAAAACTTTCATTCTGTCTATTTTGTTTGTTTTATTGTTTTGCAGCTATTGAAATACAATTATCCTTGTTTTTGAATTTTTGTGTGGGTTAGTGACTGAGGCAGTGACACGACCTTCTATTGTTTGTTGCAGTTGATATACTGAACTCATTTCATTGTTTTTATCTTAAATTATTTTGTCTTACTTTCATAACTGCATCTTATAAATTCATAAGTAATAACAAAAAAAAAAAAAAAGTAAATAATTATGTGAATTTGTTTATTATAATTTCAATTAAAATGTTTATTTTGTTTTATGTTTAAGTTCTCAACAAAACTTGTTTTCTAGTGTGTCTTCTTGTTTTAGATTTTTTTTGTAAAGAATTTATTGTTTTTTTGTTTTCTATTTAGGCATATCACAGAATAATAAATTTTATTTTATTCTATAGTCTAGTCTATAGACTAAACTATAGACTAGACTATAGACTAGACTATAGACTAGACTATAGTCTAGTCTATAGACTAGACTATAGACTAGACTATAGACTACACTATAGACTAGACTATAGACTAGACTATAGACTAGACTATAGACTAGACTATAGACTAGACTATAGACTAGACTATAGACTAGACTATAGACTAGACTATAGACTAGACTATAGACTAGACTATAGACTAGACTATAGACTAGACTATAGACTAGACTATAGACTGGACTATAGACTAGACTATAGACTAGACTATCTAGACTATAGACTAGACTATAGACTAGACTATAGACTAGACTATAGACTAGACTATAGACTAGACTATAGACTAGACTATAGACTAGACTATAGACTAGACTATAGACTAGACTATAGACTAGACTATAGACTAGACTATAGACTAGACTATAGACTAGACTATAGACTAGACTATAGACTAGACTATAGACTAGACTATAGACTAGACTATAGACTAGACTATAGACTAGACTATAGACTAGACTATAGACTAGACTATAGACTAGACTATAGACTAGACTATAGACTAGACTATAGACTAGACTATAGACTAGACTATAGACTAGACTATAGACTAGACTATAGACTAGACTATAGACTAGACTATAGACTAGACTATAGACTAGACTATAGACTAGACTATAGACTAGACTATAGACTAGACTATAGACTAGACTATAGACTAGACTATAGACTAGACTATAGACTAGACTATAGACTAGACTATAGACTAGACTATAGACTAGACTATAGACTAGACTATAGACTAGACTATAGACTAGACTATAGACTAGACTATAGACTAGACTATAGACTAGACTATAGACTAGACTATAGACTAGACTATAGACTAGACTATAGACTAAAGACTAGACTATAAGACTATAGAGCTATAGGACGACTATAGACAGATATAGACTAGACTATAGATTAGACAGGACATGGCTTAATCGACTTTGCTAAAGGATCCAGGAATATGTTTTACTTTTATAGGTCTTTATTGAGGAAATTACAACGGAATGACAAACTCACGAAACGTGAAGGGTATGAAAAGAAATGAACTATCTCTCTAGATCAGTTTTTATTCATTCCATGCAAAACCGTTTTACAACACAAAATACTTAATACTTTAACCATAGTGAACAGCAGCAAGTGGTATATCTTCTATGAAATAATTTAAGGTACATAACCCGAGTGACTTTTTTAGTCGATCCTTTCATTATCTCCTGTACGGCTTCTGTTACAGCGGGTCGTAAAATTTCATAAAAATCTCGCCAATTCTCATTTATAAGAGTATTTGTACTATCCTCTATATCCTTCTGACCATTGAAAAGATTATCAAATTGTGTATGTACACCTCCTATATTTGTAACATCCATATGTAATTTTTCGACATCGCCAAATGTGAAACCATGTTCGTCGCGCAACTTAAGTTGTACGTTAAGGATCATGCCCAAATTCTCTGTTTAAAATAATTCCAGAAGTTTTTGTTAGAATGATCACCAAATTTAAATTTGACCAAACTTACCAATTTTGAAGAAACCCTTGCCATGACTTTTTAAAACTAAATTTAATATTTGTCCATTAATCTTATAATCGAAAGCAAACTGCAATTTTGGCACTAATAATTTAGCATGTAAAACTAATGTTTTTGCATCGAAACTGTAATAAAAAACGAAAATTTATTTTAACACATACATATTTGAATGCTTGGTGGAAGTCTGAAAAACAAACCTGATTTCTTGAACGATCATATTACTGGCGCCAGTTACCACCACATTAGAAAGATCAACATTTAATGCCACAGGATTTTTGGGATCTTGAGAAAACAAAATACGTTTAACATATATAGGATCAAAGGAACCGGCAGCTTTATAACCAGGTATGCCTATAATTTGGAGTCCAATAAAGAATTTCTACTTATTTTTGTTTTATAATTATATGTTGTGAAAAACTTTACCAGACTTCCACTCGCGAAATATCACTTGAAAATTTTTGCTAAAACATTTGCCAAAATCTGGATCCTGCAAACGACAGGGTATTAAGAAGTCGGCTGTAAATAGGTATTATAAAATGTATTTATTGTTCGTATCTTGATCTTAGTATTTTTATAATTTATATAATTTTATTGTTGTTTTGTGCTTACGTTTGTTGGACAAAAATTTTGCTGCATTAACTGTGGAAACTGCAACAGCTGTTATTATGACCAGGATGTCAAGGATTTTAAGTGTCACATTCATTATGTAAATTTTTCTGTTTTATTGTTTTCCTCTTTTTTATAGTTTAAAATGCTGTTGCTGCTGGAAATAGCTTTTTTTTTTTTGGCGAAAAAATGTGTGTGGATCAGAGGTTGACGTAGTGATACACCTTCTGATATGCTTGCTTCAATCAAAATACTGCAGTCATTTTATTAATTTTATGTTTAAATATTTTGTATTCATAACTATATTATTCTATATACTATATTTAAAACAACAACTAGTTAGTTTAGACGGTCTACACTGTTCTTATGTTACCCTACACCTATTATACTATTTCGCTTATAAATACCTTTAACGGAATAGCTTGCTAGTTCTTATAAATATCCTTAATAGGTTGGTTTTCCAATAAATTTTTGGATTTTTTGAGAGAAAAATTTTCTACTTTACTATGAGTATATAAGTATGCCTCACAACTAGGATGGTGCAGAGTAAAGAAATATTCATTAGAGCATTTCTTTGTTAAAATTTTAGTTAGATTTTAATTATGCTTCTTAGCGATCTTGTTTTTCTAGTATCTTTTTAATTTAGAATCTTTTAATATTTTAATTAGTTATGTGATAGTATTTATTTAGTTAGAGAGTGAAGAAAAATTATGTGTTTTTAGAATTAAAAGCAAATATTAAAGCTTTAGATCTTGAACATACATACATATGTATATGAACTCAAAATCTAAAATTAATTTTGTTATTCCGTCTGTAATACATCGAAATGTTGGTAGTAGAACCTCTGTTCCATTTGTTGAAATTACGATAGAGTACGTTCGAGCTTGCACCTTTATGAGAGTCTCTGGTGGGAAGTGAAAATATGACTTTCCGACTAACAGACTAGAACACTAGTATTAGAATCTACCGGTTCTATCAGACATGCTTTCAACAATTTTTTCTATTTAAAGCAATCAAAATTGATCCATAAATATCAAAGATATGAAAAGCACTAGGGTTCTAAAAATCGACTTTCGAATAATCGAACAATCGACTTTTTGTCGAAAAAAGTCGATAACTCGACTATCGTCTGTGAAAAAGTCGGTTTTGTTAATAAAAGTCGAAAAGTCGAAAAAAGTCGATAGGTCGAAAAAAGTCGAAGAAAGTCGAAAAAAGTCGAAAAGTCGGAAAAAGTCGAAAACACGAAAATTGTAGAAACAAGTCAAAAATAGTCGAAAATTTTAAAAAAGTGGAAAAAAAGTAAAAAACTCTGAAATTGTTGGAAAAACTCGAAAAAAGTCCAAAAATAGTCGAAAGAAGTCGAAAATAGTCAAAAAGTCGGAAAAAGTCGAAAAGTCGACTATTTATAAAATACTTATAGTCAAAAAGTCGACTTTTAATTAAATGAAAATAGTCGAAAAGTCGAAAAATCGACTTTTCATAAAATGCAAAAAGTCGAAAAGTCGACTTTTAACTAAATGAAAAAAGTCGAAAAGTCGACTTTTCGTTTCAACTATAGAACCCTAAAAAACACTATTATTTATTTATTAAATAATTGAAGTCCTTTAAAATTGACACAGGTTCACGAAATGAAAAACTAAAAGCGCAGTTTTTCTCCATTAAAATTTTGAGTTTCAGACGTTCATGGTTCATGTCTAACGATTTTTTCTCTTTTTGTCGGACGGTGTTATATTTGTAATAATATTGTAAAACTAAAGAAATATATTTCGAATAAAAATATATTAACGTTTAAGGGTTAATTTCGATAAATACGGGTCTTCATTATATGTATATTTTTCTTAAGTTTCATTTAAATCGGTGTAAAACCAAATAATATTTTACTAAAGTTTCAATACATTTTAGCAATATTTTATAGCTTGAGTTTGACCTTCGTATGTTAACCCATAAACACTATTCGATTTTGCTAAAACTTCTGATATATGTTGAATTGTATATTCCGAGAAGGTATTATATGAAATACATAACAGTAGAGAATAAAGCCTGGTTTTTCAAAAATTTTAACAAAAAAATTTTTTCTCCGAAATTCCCAATCTTCAAATCGCAGGTAACGCTATTCTGTAAGAGATATCCACCTAATTTATTTACTATTTTATTCCCTTCTTTTCTGTCCATAAGTCACGTGGAGACTTTCTTAAAATTTTAAAATTTGTGTAACAAAATTGATAAAAGTATGAAATTGAACTGTTTCGAAACTGTCATCTGAAGAGTTTCTAATTTATGACTATAACCCTTTCACTTAATAAATACAAATTTTAGATATAATGTATAATAATTAATTTACTTTTATTATACATTTTAAATATTGTTCAGATACTCAAATGAACTCTATTACCTTTAAAATTAACCTTGACTGCGGTTAATAGTTATAAATATGGGCTAAATCTAATAAGAAAGTGAGATACTATAAGACCAGCTGTTTAATATTATCTTCTTAAAACTTGTTTTAAGAATTTTTCAAATAATAGCAATTAATCAGACTTACTTAATTGTCTATAAAATATTAGGTTGATAACCTGTAATTAATATTTCTTTACGAAAATTATTATTTTAATATTTCACTTTTATATTATTTTTCATTCTTAAAATATGTATTCACGACAATAACTATCGTTAACCATTATATTGAGCAGCAGTTGGTATATCAGCAATGAAATAATTGCCTGGCACATAACTGAATACCTTTGATAGACGATCTTTCATAATCTCTTGAACGGATTTTGTTATAGCGGGTCTTTCAATTTGATAAAATTCACGCCAATTCTCATTGAACACACCATTTATACTGTCCTCTAAATCTTTTGACCATTAAAAAGATTATCGAAATATACATGAAAACCGCCAACATCTTTAATATCCAGATGTAATTTTTCTATATCGGTAAAGGTGAAACCATGTTCATCACGTAGTTTAACTTGTAGTTTAAGAATCATTACAAAATTATCTAGGAAATAGATAAAATTAAAAAAGTTTTATTAAGAATATTGAAAAATAATGTCGGTTATAAGATTTTAAAAATCTATAAACTATAAATTCCTATTGTTTTTAGCCGTCAAACTTACCAACTTCCATAAAAGCCTTGCCACTGCTTTTTAAAGGTAAATTTAAAATACGTCCATTAAGTTTATAATCGAAATCAAGACGTAATTTTGGTGCTAATAATTTAACATAATAACTTAATGATTTTATATCGAATCTGTAATAAATTAAGAAAAAAATGTCTAAATAAAACTGCTGAAACCTTAAAAACAATAGTATTTTGATAACCCACTTGATTTCTTGAGCGACCATTTTACTGGTACCAGTTATAACAACATTGGAAAGATCAGCATTTAAAGCCAATTGACTATTGGCATCTTGTGTAATAACAATACGTTTTACATAGAGAGGATCAAATGTACCAGCCGCCTTGAAACCGGGTATACCTGTCAATCAATAGAATTATATCTTTAAGTTTTGAAAGTAAAATATTTTATTTTAAACTTTACCATCCTTCCACTCGGTATAAAGCACTTGAAAGTTTTTGGTAAAACAGGTGTTAAAGTTGGGATCCTGTAGATAACAGGGTGTCAAATAGTCAGCTGTTAGGGGGAAAAAAATAACAGAAATTATTAAGTATTTGTCTTTTACTTTAGATTTCTTTCCTCAACTTACGTTTATTTGCCAAATATTTAGCTGCATTGGTAACGGCAACAGCTGTTGCTATCACCAGGATGCTAAAAATTTGATATAAAACCTTCATTATCGAATAGGTTATTTTATTGTTGTTCCTTTTTATAGCTTTCTATAAAGACGGCCGCTGTGTATGACTTTTATTGTTTACTCCTGTTGGAAGACTAAATTTATATAATTGATTTTAGCTTAAATATTATGTATTACATTCGGTATTTTAATAATAAACAAATATTGATTTGAACAATTTTATTTATTAAAATTTCCATTAATTTGTTGTATTGTTTTATTTGAACTTCTGAATTAACTTGTTTTTCTAGTATTTTTTTGAATCTTTTGTGATAAAGATATAAATTTTTATTTATTATTTAGGGTTCTGAACGTTCATCATAATTATCGTTAAATATTGATTACACCTAACTTACATATTTTATTTAAGATATCTGTATTATAGAAAACCGATTGTTATAATTATGTTCGATGCAACATGTTAGCTGAGTACTGTCAAACTATCACTCTTGAATCCCAGCCCAACCCTGACAATTGACTTAAAAAACTTAAATATAGTTATCCTAATGAAATTCTAAGGCTCCTTAGTAAGACCTTCTAAAGAAGATTTCTTCTGAAAAAGTCGATTAAAAATATTGGTAGTAAGATACAATCCAATAGTTAGGTTAGGTTAGTTTGATAGGAAAAATGCAGCTAGTCCATTATGCGACCTGTTGTGCACCCCTTTTCATGGAAAATATTTGTTGGTGAAACAAAAACCTTATATAGTGATCAATGAAGGTATTATCGTCCAATATTCAAAAACTCAGTTTCGTGGACTTAATTCCTAAGTTCGAGTGTTCGAGTGGGATATTATATCTTGAGTAATATCATTCCCAAAATATTTGCATCTAATATCGACAAATGCAATGACCTTATATAGTGATCCATGAAGGTATTATCGTAAGATGTTCAGAACCTAAGTTCAGTGGTATTCCTAAGTGTTATAGAGAGGGATGTTATATCTTCAGTAATATCATTCCCAAAAATTTCGACGAATGCCTGACAGTGGCAAAGAAAGTTGTAGTGAGTTTAACAGTTCCTTCCACTTCCTCTATGTTCATCTGAAACTAAACGTCCAATAGTTCTGCCCGTAATCTTGTGTGTAATCTACTCGAAATACGAACCATCATACTGATCTCAGACTTACTCATTATGAGATGGCTTCTCTTCCTAGTCTCGTTATAATTTCTTTGTGGTTCTACCCACCATCTTATTACTCCAAGAGGCCTTATGGGATTCTCTCGTTCATATTTTTAAATTGGACCTTTTTGCGTTGAATAGTTTTGCGTTCGTCAAGTTAATTACCTCATCCATCACTTTAAAGCAAATAAATTCGCTCTTTCGTTGCCGACGACTTCCGAGTGGCCGGATTTCCTTATAATGCAAAGCTTGCCTCTGTGTGAGTATTCGGTTAATGTTTTCGTACAATCCAATACGGTCTTAGGTCCAAACATATCTCCTAACATCACACTAATTGCTTTCTGACAGTCGGTAAATATGTTAACCCCTGTTGACGCCATATTTACTCTAATCCAATTTACGCATTCCGTAAAGTTCGATCTATACAAGAACCTAATATGAAAAAATCACTAAAATTTCTTAAAAGTTTCAAGTCAGTATTTATCACTCGACTGACATTTGATTTACAATTTGAAAAATTTTCTAAAAATAAATGTTATAGAAAAAAAAAAATTTATTTGCAACAAATTGTGAATACCCTCTCTAGTTTAATAAATTCTAATTTTGAATAAATTGCATTATTAATTTGCTTCAATTGTACATTTGAAATATAATGCAATTCAATATATTTCAACGAACTCTATTAATGTTTTTTAAATTAACCTTGATTTAGGTTAATTGCCAAATAAGAAATTAAAATAGAATTAAATTAAAAAAAATTTTAATCAATAATTTCAAAAAGATATGTCATTGAATTATAACAATGAAAAACATCGCAGCAAAAACTCGGTAATGACTTGTACTTAAGCAATAACTTGCTTTTCAGTGACTATTATTTACTTACTTTTAAGTGCTTATATAATGGCTTTCATATAATCAGACACGTAAGTAGTTTATTTTGACGGACAAATACATTTAGACTTTAGAATCTTACTTGAATCCAGAATATATATATAGTTTGTTGTTTTACGCCAAATTCAGTTTTCACAAATTAACTTTATTTTGTAAATTTAAGAGAATAATTACTCTATATTAACCACTATGCTGGGCAGCACTAGGTACATCGGCAATAAAGTAATTGCCCGGTACATAACTGTATGCCTTTGATAGACGATCTTTCATGATAAATTCAACAGCCTCTCTGATAGCGGGACGTAAAACTTCATAAAAATCACGCCAATTATCATTGAATACAGCATTTGTAGTGTCCTCTAAGTCCTTTTGACCATTAAAAAGATTATCAAAATGTACATGAAAGCCACCAACATCTTTAATATCCAAATGCAATTTATCAATATCGGTAAAGGTTAAACCATGTTCATCACGCAATTTTAATTGGATGTTGAGTATTAAAACGAAATTATCTGGGAGGTTTACAAACATAATATTTTTTCAGAATTTTACGTAGGATTTACTAAATATTAAAATAACTCAAGACAAACTTACCAATTTCAATTAGAGATTTGCCATTGCCATTCAAGGCCAAGTTCAAAATGCGTCCTTTTAGTTTATAGTCTGAATCAAAGCGTAACTTTGGCACAAATAATTTAAGAGTTGATTTCAGTGATTTGGGATTAAAACTAGGAAAAGAAAATGTTTCAAAAAAGTGTTAAATATTTTTTTTAATTGAAATAATAACCAACCTGGCATCTTGAACCTGCATTTGACTGACTCCTGTTATAACCAGATTAATAAGTTCAGCATTTAAGGCCACTGGATTATTGGCATCTTGAGCAATAACCACACGTTTAACATATAAAGGATCATAGGAGCCAGCTTCCTTTAAACCAGGTAAGCCTTAAAAGTTCAAAAATACGAAATTAATTTATCGCTTAATAAACTTCTAATAACCTACCATCTTTCCATTCGCGATAAATTCCCTCAAAGTTTTTGGCATAACATTTGTTAAATTGTGGATCCTGTAAATAACAGGGTACTATGAAATCGGCTAAAAGGAAAAAATCAATTATTTTTCTTTTATTATTTAAATTTCTTTTATTTTTTATACTTACGTTTGTTGGGCAAAAATTTGGCAGCTCTTGCAGTTTGTATTACGACAACTGTTGTTATGGCCAAAACGGCATAGATTTTTAATGAATTTTTCATTATGTTAATGTCCTTTCTTATTTATAAAATGGTGGCAGTTGCAGTAATTTTTATGAACTCCTACTGTTCGTTGCACTTGAAATACTAAACTCTTTTTTAAACTGTTTTAACCTTTAAACAATTGGTATTACTTTCATAACTGTTTATTAAAGAAATGCAAAAACAAAAGAAATTCATTATAAGAATATATGTATTATAATTAAATTTAAATCTTTATTTTATTTCTTAGTCCACAATGAACTTGTTTATCTAGCGTAAACATCAATAGAACATTTGGTAAATAACATAAAAGAAATTGCAATGAAGGCATGTCACAGTTTATGTTAATAACTAACTTATCGTGGGTGCTTCGCTATCCTCATCAAAGTTAAACCGAAGTTTGTATTAAAAATGTATAAAAGGATAGCATGTGAATACTCTCATTAACTTATTATAATAAAGTACATTTTACTCACTATAAAAACGATCTATGCTTCTTGTTTTTTCAGGTCCGTTTTTTGTTAGTAAGTTAGTTAGTTAGTTGGTTGTTAGTTAGTTAGTTAGTTAGTTAGTTAGTTAGTTAGTTAGTTAGTTAGTTAGTTAGTTAGTTAGTTAGTTAGTTAGTTAGTTAGTTAGTTAGTTAGTTAGTTAGTTAGTTAGTTAGTTAGTTAGTTAGTTAGTTAGTTAGTTAGTTAGTTAGTTAGTTAGTTAGTTAGTTAGTTAGTTAGTTAGTTAGTTAGTTAGTTAGTTAGTTAGTTAGTTAGTTAGTTAGTTAGTTAGTTAGTTAGTTAGTTAGTTAGTTAGTTAGTTAGTTAGTTAGTTAGTTAGTTAGTTAGTTAGTTAGTTAGTTAGTTAGTTAGTTACTTAGTTAGTTAGTTACTCCAAAGGATACACCTAGGTTTCTATCGGCCTGCTGTGGGCTCCTTAACCAGTGTCTCATGTGAGAATTAACACTAATCATTAACCTGCCGGGGGCCACTCGCAATTACTTTGAATACCAAATTTACGCCTCTTTTAGTATTTTTTTTGATTTTTAGACCTTAAACGTTCGAATTTCCCAAAAGTACCAAATTTATTTCTGTAACTTTTCAAAAATTTTACTTTTTTTGACAGCTTTAAACGATATATTAGGTCCAAAAAAGTACCAACAAAAAGTTTTTTTCCGTTTACTCCTAAAAAGAACCGAATTTCGAAAAAGTACTAAACACCTGTCTAACATTTTTTTTATCTTTTTATCCTTTAAACTAACTTCCCTCCTGAGTGGATCTTGATATTATAAATCTAAGTTCAAGCCTTTAGATTGCGCGATGACCAATCAGTCAGTAAATCGACTCTTTCATACATAAATGGTATGTCAACCTTTTTAAATTTGACAGTTTATTTTTCATATATTTTAAAATTAAAGTATTTAATGAAAATACTTAAATTATAGAAAATATTTTGTACACAGTTTATAGTTAACTATGTACATTTTATGACAAACTGTGAACACACTTTTAATAAATTTTAATTTCGTATAAATATTTCATTATTATTATTAACTTTATTAAATGCAATTAAACGTTAAATAGTATTAGGATTTTAATTATATACCTAAATAAATTATAATACTTTCAAATTAAACCTTTATGTAGGTTAATAGTATCAGTAATGTCTTAAATAAAATAATAAACATTAAGAAAGATATATATTTACATAAATATATATCAATGTATGTATGTACATTAGGGTATAACCAAAATTAGATTATATTAGAAATACATATGTACGTGGTTGCTAATAGCGTTCTAATAATGATTTATTTTGGAACAGAAACTTATTGTGACAAATTTGTCTCAATTTAAAATAGTTTTTAATAGTATGATCTTATTTTATATATTTTTTAGTGTGCGAAAAGCAATCTTTTAACGTCCTATTTATAATGACTTATTTAAGTAGTTATTTGTAAGTGTAAGAACTAGTCATTGCC